CCCACAGTCGAGCTCGGAAACCGCCTGGGACAACTGAGCAGCCCTATTTAGGGAGAGCACTGCTCACCCCCGCGAGGAGAAGGGGCTGGAAAAGGCGTCCTAAACAAATGCTGGAGACCCACGCCGTCTGCGGGCCGGTCGTGGCCTCAGACGCAAAACTCATGGCCCGGCCGTGCCAACCACCGGAGCCCTCCCACGCCTCCGGTCTTCTTGACTCTGTCTTGACACCGGGCCCAGGTGGGGAGTTGGGAAGAGAGAGTGCGGTGGATGCCGCCCAAGTCTTCTATCACTATAGACTAATTCACGCGCAAGTCACCGTGCCTGTTGCACCTTGGTGTGTCGCACACGGTGGACATAGTCGAAATCGACGGTCGAACTGTCTGTTAAATATGCAGCGAATTGTGCCTTCTACAATACTAGGACGATGGACTCACGTGAGTTCGAAACAGCAGAACAACGAGTAACTGGTTCCAGAGACTGCCTCGTCATCATCTTCAGCTTCTCGGGTCTCTTCAGCCTGTATCACACGAAGTCCTGAGCCAGACACGTCAACGACATGTTCGTAATAATAAAAGGGGGGATGTGCAGACTTTCGAGGCATTGCTGAATCCAATCTTTCCCGACGTCCAGTTTACCATGGAGAAAGAAAGCAAAAAGCAATTGCTCTTCCCTGACGTACAAGTCACAAAGATGGCGGACTAGAAGATAAAAATGACATTCGGCGTATCCTCCACTACATAAACAACCATCATGCTGGTCGCAAACGCAGTTATGTCAAAACGTCCTTCCAACGCGTTCAAACATATGGTGGCTACGATAGAGGGAGGAGGAAGAAGATGAATACTTACACACCCTAACTAAAGCCAACGGTTATCTGAAGTTCTTCATATGTGAATGCCCCAGGAAAACTCATTGTGAGCGCTCGAGCGGAAAAAAGCCGAAGTCCTGACTCACGATCCCCTGTCTGACGAAGGTTTTGGCGACGACGGTTAGAATCCTAAAACCTATCGGGATTAGCGTGGCTCATAATCCAGAATGGATAATCAGACAACAAGTCATGCGTTTCAAGGACCCGTTGCCACTAGCAGAACAAACAGCAGTGATAAACACCATACCATGCCAAAACCGTGATGCGAGGTATGTTGGTGAAAAGAGCAAATGCCCTGACACAAGATTGCACGAACGTCAACTAGCGAGGATAGGCTCTCTCTGGTCTGTGGCCACACACAACAGCTGAATTACAGTTTTGCCTTTGGAAAGCAAGGGTGATCGGCCGAGCCAATGAGAAGATAGCCAGGCTGGTGTTCAGAAGTCGGTTCCCGAGTTGTACTCTCAATTGAGATCAATCGAGGCCGCAAATTTCCCGCACTCTTAGGCACCGTGAGTAGTGTTTCCGAATAAAGCAAACCATGCTGCTCATCTCATGAGACGCGGACACAATGGCTGCTATTCTAAACTGTGATCCAACAGCTTTGGCCACTGGACTTGGGCGAGGGCGCCTGCAATTGACTGATTGGCTAACACTGACGTGACTGCAGGTGGTTGTGCCGGTTATAGTGTCCAGGCGGCGCTCTCGCGGGAAAACGACGGTTGGGATCATAATTAGCCTGTTGTGATAACCATTTTCCCCGTTGACCCCGCTGAGAGGTAGAAGCCTTACCAGACGCAGCCCTGGTACGTTGGTTTTCGTCCATCTTGACGACGGCCGGTCGTTTTACTCCTTTGATATAAAAGATGGGAGGAATAAAGGGTGTTTAAAAAGGCGGTTGGGGGATCTTAGCTCAAAGTGGCACCTCCGCTCACCTGGTAAGATGAATGCCACGTCGCAGATGTTATTTTGGAGAAAACACGACCACCTACCATCAGAATGGATGAACAGCTATTCCTGAGGACAGAGAAGAACCATCTCGGAAAGAAATCAGTAGAGATCAATGACAGTTGTTGGCTGTCCAACTCACTATTACTTCAGATTCCCGGCCGACTACAAATCCCCCAGCATCTTCACATACAGATTAACAAACGCCACTTCCTGCCCTGCTGATCATCATATTCGCTTAAAGCACTCAAAAGCCTGCTCAAGCTAGACGTTCAAATTAGAAGGCTATGGTTCTGGAAGTAGGCCTGCTGTGTATAGCGTGCGCTGAACCTCTTGAACAACTGAAATTAGTGTCTTAATGTGCTTTCAGACTGAAAGGATTGCCCAAGTAACACTGCAAATCCGGTTAGCATAGGAAATAATTCCCCGTCGGGTCGTATGTTGTAGCATACTGGCTGTTGATTGATCCTCTTCCCAGCCATTAAGGATGTTAATTCTTGCGGTCATTCAACCCTACTTGATAGGGAGGGTGCGCAAGGGGCTAATTTTTATAAGCACTTCATACACAGTTTCACCTACTCCAAGTTTGGAACCTGCAGGATAATATTCCGCTTTGAAGTCTACTAATACCTGCACGATCTGAAATTCAACTCACACTCTTCACTCGCTAAGATTCTAAAACCGCAAGTAAACTCTTTGATCTGGAGCACATTAACAACGCCCTTCAGGAGTCTTGGTTAAAATCTGCTGACGATCATGACATCCCCTTGTCTTTGTCGGAAATCTGATTCTACCCATACTACTGGCCACTGTGTGATAGCTTGCGAGGAGCTAGATCGAACCTCAATCCACAAGGGAACGAGTGTCCCGTGGCGCGATTGGTGACCGCCCTCTGCCACATATATGTATATAAATGCATATATGCAAAACAGCATTGCCGACAGAGACAAGGGAGACCGGAATGGCCATTCTTGCCTTGTCAGTCGTCATCAGCCAGCCACGCCCAACCCCGAGGTATGCAACCCTCAAGGCTCGATCCTGCGACCTGTTGGTCAGAAGTCCAATGCCGTGATCACTGGGCCACGGCTCGATGTCCTATTGATTGCGATCGGATATAACAACAATGGTGTGGCTGAGTGACGACGACTAACAAACCAGACGACCATTCCAGTCTTCTTTACTTTTGTCGATAATGCTGTTCTGCCCACGTTATGCGACGCTGTGCGGTTGCTGGCGGGGCTCGAGTGAGAGAGCCCTAAGACAAACGGACGAGTGAGTTCCGTAACGCGATCGATGAGCCTCCCTCTACCTTTGTACATATCCCATCGCAACCGATAGGACATCGAGCCGTGACCCAGTGGTTAGGGCCTTAGACTTCTAACAGACATATCGCGGTATCAAGCCCCAGGGGTCACGAGCCTCACGGTTGGGCAAGGCTGCCTGATGATGGCTAATAAACCAGACATGACTGTTCCGGCCTCCCTTGCTTTCGCCGGTAACGTTTCTCTGCCGAAAAAGTTATCGAGCAGAAATGTCTTTCCAAGCTATTTTCCCAAAATGGGTAACCGCGCGACTTCTTACGCCAATGCGCGAGGCACCAGCAGTTAGAAGGGGAGATATTTCTAGTATGACAATGAGGCTTCCTATATCTCAGTTGCGGGATAGAGACCCTCGGTTTCGCCTTGCAGCCCCGGCCTGCGTCCTTCGCAGGCGTCCATATGACGACTTATCATGAAGACGCGTTGCCGATAGAGACTAGGCAGAGTACAATGGCCCGCCGTGGCATATTTGCTGTCCTCGGATCTCCATCAGCCATGCCCTCCCCTTACCCGTAAATGGCCTAAATAAAACATAACATTTGGATGCAAGGAAATAACCGCCCAGGTTAGCGATGCATTGGTCGCTGAAGTCAACTAAATCCTGCTGAGAGCCGACTCAATTACGCACGATCAGCGCACAACTGGTCACATTACCAGCCGCTACAGTCAGCTGGCCATCCGCAACGGAGGAAGCGCTACCAGGCAAGAACTTCCCGACTACAGCTTCCCTTCGGCTGACAGCAGTCATGAGGTACTCAGTCGCCGCTTCAGGCGATATGCGGCCAGCCGGTAGCGGACGTCCAGACGCCGTCTTTCCACCTGCTTGCTTGTACGCGCGGGCCTTGTCGGTTTCCCGCTGTAACCACACCTAAAGACTGTAGAGAAGGGCATTCCTATTCTACAGCTAGACAGGGCTGGCCCTGGCTATGGTCAAGATAACCAACTACGGCATCCACCACCGCGCAGATGAGATGGGCAGGCCCCAGTCCAGCCTCTAGGCAAAAGAGCACCAAGTTGGCGACAGTCCGATCGCCGCAAGCGACCACGTCCACCGCATACCCCATGGAGTGGGCACAGCGCCACCGACTTGCCCGTAAACCAGTCTATAGTGAAAAAATTACTTGTAATGAATCGGTCGGACTCTTTCTCCCCTCGGTCACCCTGCCGGTGAACGCCAGTGCAGTTGCCGACAAATCAAAATGGCACGTCTGCGCGTGCCAGGCCTCTGCAACGGAGACCCGGATCTTACGTGAACGAACGTCACGAAGCCCACGCCAAGGTCCTAATGCAGTCTGACTCTTAACCCTCTAGTCACTCCAAAATACTTGACACGAGTACCCAGCTATTCCATCAGTCACGATTCTTAGCTCGTCGTGATAGATTCAAGTGTAGTGAGAGACGCGCTGATTTGCCGCGGGGATGGATTCCCCTGGTCAGCGACACTTTCAATGATTGGCGAACTCCCCCTCCCAAACCTGTCTACTGCATAGCTAGACGAGTCGTCATCAGGGAGGTAGGAGCCTGTGCCCATCGCCCACTAAGAAAAATTTATGATCAAGGTGGGCATTAGTTTACTTTTGCGGTTCATTTTGAGTTCATACAGCGAAATTGTGCGGCAGAATTTGGCCTTTGCAGTCTCCTCGACTTTCTGCTAGTGTCTCGGTGAATCAGCTGCATCTGGAGAACACAGGATCCAAATCATGACACAGATCCCCATGGAACTTAACACGGCTGAATTTCAATATACAACCCGAGGTTGACTTCTTATGCACACACAGATATAGTGCAGAAACTTGGTGATTTTATTGAAAATGACATGGTGAGCAGTAAAATATGTCGGAATGGCATCTGAAATCCCCATATTTTCAGATAATTTGAAACGATGAAAAGGTAGTCTGAGGCACGTAGTTCAGCTCGAGAAGCTGAAATCTGCAATGAAAAAAGGGTGAGATAAGCAGGAACCTTAGAGAAGGAAGTACCGTTCTGAAGTACCCTGATAATAGTAACCCGTGAGGACGCCACTCGTCTTCCGAAGACAAACATAGTAGAAACCGGAGAAGGAAATGTGTTCACTGGCGCTGCTGTTCGTCGAATCTGGGACTAGAAACTTCTCCTGATGGAAGAAAAGTGCCTTCGTGGGAATTCAGAGAAACTAACCTTCCAGCGCATAAACACGTGATCAGCGGTCTCCAGGGCTGAGTAGTCAAAGGAGTCCTTGTAGTAGTCAGGAAACTTGGAGGGCACGTTTAATTCGTTCTGAAGAGGGCAAGGAAAAAACCTCAACGTTCAGGCTGTACAAAAATCACTCACACACCCAGTGGCTTCTGTCAATTTCCACAGTGGCATCCCACTTGCCGGTGATGAAGGGGAACTTGCGGCTGATAATTTCGGCCTCGAAGAAGGTAGTGGAGTTGGGAACCTCCTCGGCCAGGTGTTCGATTGTTAGCAGACCATAGAAGGTCTTCTCAGGCAAGTTGGTTGTCTGAAGGAGACAGATGATGGCGGCCCGCCACATACCTGAATGACAGCCTCGACGTTGTATTTCTTGCCCTTGGAGAGTTGGCTGCCGACAAAGCGGGCACCGGGATGTAGACAAGAGGAGAATGCGGCGCTCGGAGGGCAGGCAGGGCCCAGATTCAGCTCGGATAGACAGGACATTCGGAGGCTGTCCAAGAAAGCGCCCAAATTTAGTACAAGTCTCAAACAAACATCAAGAAGGTCTATTCACTGCAAAATCAGTATCCCGTTAGTTGCAACCAGACACCTTTGCTCAAGTGCTACTGCCGGCTAAGAACAGCGAGTCCCAGGATTCAAGGCTCATGCTTAATCCATCATAGGAGTTAGATTGCTGACTGGCCGACGTTAACAGCTATGAAAGCGGTGAAATAAACAAAGGTGGGGACTAGCCAGGCTGAACATACACGAAAGCTCAAGATGTTCAACAAGTGTCACTTTCATAGATGAAAACGACTTCGGCCCACGGATCACATCTTCAGTATGAAGTTTTAGTTGCGGTTTTATCCCCAGAAACTGACTGTTTACCTACAGATTTGGGTGCGTTCGCCCACTGAAGCAGTAGGCCTCGTCCAGGAAAGTCGATTGTAGTCGACTCAGAAGATTTAGAGAATAAAAGGAAAACTACCTAAGGGCATATCTCAAGGATGAAAGGGCACGACGCGTTTAATCAAAGGGATTTGCCTTGAGGCCGAGAGGTATATGTAGGTCTATCTGTTGAGCAGCTATTGGTTATCTAGAAGAACCCGGTTACGAGATCCCACAATTGCATGCAACAGCTAGCAACCTTCTATGACACTTTTGTTGGTGCGTCGCGACAGCTCAAGAGGGCATTGGTTTACTGTGAGGAAACCAAGCACCGGATTCGAACTGAGCGTGTTTTACCCTTTTCCGCCTCCAATACCAGCCGCAAGCCCGAGTCAAAACAACTGGTGGCAAGACAGGACGTCGAGGCTGACGGGGAGTAAAGCCCCAAACCAAAAGTTCATAATATGTACCCCTGTGGATTACGGTATCTAAGGTACTTGTCCACCGCGAACTCGACTGCACGGGTCGGCGCGAGAGCAGTCAAGGTTACAGGAACGGAAACCACCTGAAGTCTAGAACGCAATAGGCACAATCTAACATTTGCGTCTTACCAGACGAAAAACAAAGGGCTCGCCAGGTTGAGACAGGTCTAGGCCAAACAAGGAGTAATTAACCACAGCAGTTCTGGCACATGTTTCGACACTTGACTAACAGCAAACGGAATTCTGCCTCCTACTCCTTCTGACGGCATCAAGTGTCGCAGTTAAGTGAGATGGATACAGCGGCAACGTCCTCGGCGTGTTCTTTCAATGGAAGTCGATACGACAATAGCTGTAGACCTAAGCCTTTTTTGAATGACTAGCAAGACTGACGACATGATGCTCGGGTGCCAAGGGAGACAGTACACACCACGGAGATTTACATAAGCAAACAATCGCGAGACGCGGCAATCTCCCACTCCTCGAGGTGAGAAACAAAGACAGGAAGCAAGCACACTACACACACCAAACGTTCGCGAGTGAGGCCGCGCCCCGGACCAGGAGCTAATGTTATTCCGTTTCGGAAGGTCGACGCACACCGGCGTCAAGTGAGCAGAAGTCAGGCGCCTGAGGCAAGACGCAGCGAGCCGTTTTGTTTCGCCTGAACACGATGCACTCCGCTACCTAGTGTGAGAATGGATAGTATTCAGAAGCGCCATCACTGAGGTCTCCTTCAGTGGCCTATGCCGCAGCATTTGCAACCCGAGAGCGGATAACAATCAACACCGCACAGGTCGCAGATTACACGCGAGGCGCCCAAACCATCAGATACAGAATACCGGGCTGTTAGATGATATGATGACTGAGGGCCGATTAGAGCGGCTATCATTAGAAAATCCCACCTGAAATCAGGATGGCCTCAGCAGCCGTAGATACAAATAAGTGGGGAGGAGGGGCGACAGAGAATGCGGTAGATTCATACAGTACTGTTTCGGGCTTATTTTGCCTTCATTCAGCCAATCATAACCCTGACCAGCGGCTGGGACCAGAAACACAAACATGCACACAGACGCACCTGGCGCAGTTGGTCCACCACTGAGGTCTACCAGATGGGTCATAAGCACCTTATCGAACCGAAGTTCATAAGTTCTACCAGTTGTTTTTCTGTTCGGTAAAGATTAAACCGTAGAAGGTTGTCCCTACTACCTGAATAGACGGTTACGATGCTCGAAGTCTTAGTTAGACTGCCCAACCCACCATATGGTAGCATGACTGAACCGGGCATTCCAGGAATGTCCTTCCCAATAGGATGCACAACAGTCCGAGCAGGCGGTTTCGAATGGACGGAACGCAAGATAAGGAGGATCTACAAACCAGATTACAAAAGGTTTGTCCTGCTTTTACTGAGTGGCTATAGAAGATGCTAGTGTCCACGCCATACCGAACCTGCCCCGTGAGATTGAATCAATGACGTGCTTTTCGCCAATCCCTCCTTATCTGTATACTATGACTACAACGGCGTCAACCCAATCCGCATCGCCTTCATAACACTTCTGTCTGACCGAGGGAGTTTCTACAGCCCAAGATCTAAACAGGAAAAGGAAAACCAAATTAGTTTTCGTTGTGACAGAGGTCGCAAGGACCATCAACTAACTTCACAAAAATACTAGAACACGGGCACCACTTCCAATAATGATGGAGTTTTTCGATATTTTTGCCGGAACACTAGTCAATGTACAAGAATAATCTAGGGAAGGTGGTATGCCTGAAACCGACCGTATCGAGGTATGCTGGCCGTTCATACAGATGAGACTCGGGCACACCGTATAAACGAGTACCGTGCTGTCGATGCTGCCCTCTGATCAGTTATCTTCAACTACGGGATAGGTAAGGCCTCGAATGCCATAACATAAACATAGGGCAAAACATAGTCCTGCATATTTTTAATGCCGAGGGACACTTTTCGGACTTGGCCGCATAGTCGGTCTGAGACTATACATTGCGAAATGCAAGGCTATCCTCGAGGGCTCCACACCTCGAAGTCCCTCTGCTTACATGGAGGCAAAAGGCTCGAGGTGGCCGACTTCTTTGTTTAAGCCGACTCTCCGTGATGTAAATAATTGATATAAAAACGCGAGGCCGACCAAGACTTGCGCTCAACGCGTCTCGCCGGTTCTGAAAGTGTATGTCCTAACGAAAAAGGTGCGTGTACGAGACTGTCCTGCACGACCATAAAACGTGGTTTCTGTGTGTCCCTAAATCGCAGTATCCACACAGCTAACAGTTGTTGTCTGAAAACATTACTCTGATTCAGGCTAATGGGTCGTCTCTAGAGTGAGGCCTAGCCACTGAATGGGGACACTACTTGGTGCAGGGAAAGTTCACCGTCCCAAATGACTTGGTCGGGCAAAGCCCCTGCAGCGTCATCTCTTATGGACCCTGATCGAGGTGGCGCAGCCGGCTTAGTTAACAGGGGAAAGTGATAGGCGTAATTTGCAGACCTTTAGGTAGTACAAAACGCTGAACAACGGTTGTTGTGTATGGCTCAAAGCGTGAAGCCAACAAGTCCGTGATTGTTGGGGAACCCTCATTCGACGGGAATTCCCTGTGCCGTCACTTGGAATTAATCGGTAACGAGTTTGAGAGCACTGGCGAGAAGAAGAAGACAGGTAAAAAGATGTTTTTTAGGCTTTCTCGTGTCTATGATCTCCTCTAAATGGATTTAAAATCCATCAGGCGTGACATCGCTCAGCGATCATCCGTGCGACTGAAACCCGTTCACCACACGCTTGCTCTTCCATGTTTTTTTTGTCCCAGAGAGATATAACCTATATCCACGATCCAGTGGCACCAACTACTTCCATTTCCCATTCAAAGTCAAAAGGACTACGCTTCCAAGTTTGGAGAGTTAACGTATAGGGACGAGGGGATAAAATTATAGGGCCTGATTACACGTAGAGCACGTACTATAAACAGAACAGCAAACTCCATTCAATAAGCATTTATTACTAATCATTCCGCGATTCTGTTAAGAAAAAGTCGCTCTCGCACCAAAGATGTGATGACGTACCAAAGGCCTGATGTGAAAACGGTCCACCCCTACAAAGGAAACAGAATTGCGTGACAAAGTGATAATGACTAAGATACTAAAGGGTGTGAGCCCTCAGATCATACTTATATCATATTCAAGACTGTTCCCTAAAAAAGGAGCAAGTCTAGTCAGCCCTTTTACTTCTCATCATAGGGTTACCGACAAGCCAGAGTCACACGGAATACTCACCTCCCAGTCCGAAGGAAGTGCAGTAAGCGCTGCGGGCGTCTTCCTAAGGAAGTGAGGATAGACAAAGACATATATAGATGTTTGTGAAGGAAACAAAAACAACTGGCAAGAAACGACGAGGCCATCAGAGGAAATTGTGATTGGCATTGAACCCAGGACGCAAGTAGAATGTTTTCTGCTTGCAAAAGATCGCCTGGGGTCTGAAATTCGCCTTTACTCATCACATGGCCAAAAACTACTATAAAAATGCGGGAGATCAGGAGAAGCAGTGTGGCTGCTAAAGAGGGTCCTAATCTGACGTCTAAGACGCAACTAGCATACGTGACGAGTCACTGCGCTTTCATGGTTGCCCACTTGTACGGCGAGCGTCCAGACATAACAAGTGTGAGTCGGTGTCAGATTTTTTGCTGTTAAAAAGGTGGCGGCAGGTGCGATATATCAGAATTGCTCTCCTGTTGTGCCGGCGGCAATATCAAAAGAATTCTACGCAGTTGGCGCATACAACCGAGTATTTGAACTTTCCGTGTAGGATAAGGGGGAAATGTGATAAGAACAATCACACAAATAAAACCTTATTTCACTGAACGCGTGTCACAGCATACTATTGTATGCTGTTCCTTGTTTAACAACGAACGTCGACGTCCGTTATCATGGATGTGACGAACCTACCACTTAAAGATTCTTAAACTATACATGGAGTGAAAAATAACTATGAATAGAGTTAAATTACGCGTCCGGGGTGGACAACAAGGCAAACGCGCTCGAATACCTGCAAAAGCAGAGACCAGCCTCTCTAGCCAGAGAATCAAACTCCGGGAAATTGACAGCCCAACAAAACAAGCAAATTCAACTAAATTTTTCGGCGCGACCAGAGCTTCTGAGTTGGTATAAAGCTTATTCGGAAATTCAAGGGCCCTTAACTTCTTAATGCTTTTTTTACAAAAGTGATTGCAGTTATGCATGCAATTTTATCACATTTATTTGAAACTCAATGAAGTAAGGAAAATGTGACCAAATATGTCAACAAATTTGGGCAGGAGGTAGAGCAGAAAATGTTTTTATATTTTATTATAAAATTCTTCTGCAAAAAACCTACTAAACGCCGTGGTACAAAATGAATTTAAGACACATTTAGAGTGCTGTAGTCGGTGGTTAGGGCAAATCCTCACTTTAACTAGTGTGGGAATCTGTACTGCGTGCAAGTTCTCTTGCGTTGATTTGAAGTCTAACGTGAATCTATGTGCTTCCACCTGATTGACAATCAAGGTGAAAGAGGCTGAGTCTGCCGAACACGACTAACGTCATTCATCCCCCACCTCGTTGGAGTGAATGATTTGCCCGGGATTGCCGGCAATTGTAAGGCCTGTCTTATGATTTTTTTATTGTTAATGGTGTTGTTTGTGGTAGTTTTTCGGTATAGGAAATAGGTTTGTCGTGGTAAAATCGCGACGGATTCCACTATTATGGGATCGCATACGGTCAACTAATCTAATGCGGTACCAGAGTGTCCTAGGGCATTTCAAGCAAGTGAGGTGTATGTAGAGGTTACAGCTACTGCCCCATCTGGTTTAGCCCGCCGGCCGGCGGTAATGATCTGGCTTGAAGCAGAACAGAGGGACCGATGTCGAAAATGTGCGGAAGCACGTTTTGTCACTCTCCTGAACAACTTATTTGGATTTAGCTTTCGTTCCTTGGAATGCGCATCATTCCGTAAATATACGACCGTTCCTTCGTCGTAGGCGAGTGTCCACCGTTGCCCTACCAGGTTGGACCTGCAGTGGTGGCAAGCACGTGAATTTATTTATAGGGGTCGGACTTGCTCTGCACCTATCGGACTCTCACATCACCCTTTTCCGATCTCAGGACAAAGTCAAGTCCAACCGAGGTGGACGTCGGTGCGTCGGCAACGAGAACTTCCCTAAACTAAAATCAGGTGAAGATACTTGTTTAGACGATTCTATTAAGCACAGGAAAGCACAAGCGACCGAAAAGACAGTGACAAAGATTTCTCAGGCAATGCGTATGCCAACCGTGGGTTTTTTCATCTTCGGCACAGGGAGCGTGCATTTACCTGGGCTTTGGCAGCCTACAACCAATCGATGGGAGGCACAACGTCGACTGGTGTTAATCTGTCGCCACGCAGGGGCCACACAGAAGGCGCTGGGTTGACCGAACGTGCGATGGGTAAGCAGTCGCGCTGGTGACCATGGGGGGTGAACTGTCGCAGGTGCTATGGCTGGCAAAGTTAAAAAGCGTGCTTAGTCGTGTCACACGATCTGATCCCCATTCTAAATTATTGCGCTATGATAAGAGCGGCTCGGATCTCACACAATAGGGTATGCCATAGAGGCAACATGAAATAAAGGATATTGCAGTCTGACGCTCAGTCCTAAGAAGGAAGAGGCAGCCCGCCATTTGGAAATTTTCCCTGGCAAGACTGATAGCTGGTCGCAAGGAATTAAAGTGTGTCAGGTTTATTAAAGTGCGAATGTGCAAATCGATTCGCTCCTGTCGGACTCTTACTCTCTTCTTAATCTTACGCATACCTTTCGACTGTGACCCAGTTGGTGATTGAAGTTGACATGGTGGCTGAAAAAGATAAAACAGCCCGTCTGCGCGTGCTACACGTGGCGAGAACCTCACCCCACGTTCTGAGTTCCCTTAAAATATCTTCTTACTAAGTGAGATGAGCGCGTTCTTGCACATAACGCTTCGTCCGTAATATCGTCTCTGACAAAAAGGATAGCACTTTTGCTCCAGAAGGAAGTGGTGAAGCGTATGCGCGTGTTGTGGAATAGGTTCCTGTGTTGCTTACTGGCGTACAGGTGCGGGCAGTTGAGGTGTGGCGCTAGGATGGAGTATGGACTGTGTTGTTTCATCGAAAATTCGCATATGGCCGAATAGTCTGGGACGAAGTGCGGACAAGCGAGGCCGGAATCATGCTGGCGACCCGAGGCGGCGTGAAGTTGGAGGAGCGCCGTCTTCAGCTCAATGCAACTAGACCACTGACTCGATCTACGTTAGAACAAGTTCCGTATGAGCAATATAATTATGTGCCCCTTCATCTCCTGCTTTTGTACACGCAAAGACTGGAAATTAGACTCTGTACGCGAAAGTACAGTCCGAGTGCGTTCCAACAGCATTCCGGTAGTGAAAGGGCCGTGACACTGATGGAATCATCCGTCATTGTCGTGACACTGATAGAAAATGGGTGAAAGTGCACATCTGGAAATGGTTGTTTGTGCACCAGCAATTCGTCATCTACCCCTTCGGTCTGCATCACACGCAGATAACCGCATGTAGACTTTACAGGTTTTTATTCATATCAGTTCAGTTTAGTTGTGGGGAATTTAGGTGCACACCGTTGAACTCCCTACTTTTTGCAAGTGAAACGGTTAGGAGGGAAACTGAAACATGTACAGTATCGACTAACGCCACATAGCTATCGGGACACCTTCGAATTCATTAGACACGTTAAAGACCTAGACCTAAATGGTATGATGATGTTTTCACTTGATATCTCATCACTCTTCACAGATGTTCCGGTTACAGAGAAAGTCGAGTACGTATTGGAATTCATGTCAACTAACCACCAAAAATACGTATTCTGACGAACGCACCCAGGAAACTATTTCTAAAATGCGCACAAAAGGTGCAGTTCCCTTTTGACAACTAAATATATAGACAGATAAACGTGATTGCTATGGGGTCGCCTCCTAGTCCTTCCCTTTTCTATGTCTTTATGAGCAAGCTGGAGAATTTTCAGTTAAACGGGTAAATCAGCAAGCTAAGGCACAACGATCACTGCGCAGGCGATATGTTCGCAATTGCCACTAGATAAACCAGCATAACCACCCATTTTGATGATGCAAATCAACATACTAGTCGACCAGGTTTACGCTGAAGGTGGAAACGGCAGGCTCTCTGCCTTCCCAAGACGTTCTTCTAGGCAGAAGAACTGACTGAAGCATGCAGAGAAGCGCTTATCGGAAAGAAGCCTACGCTGAAGTTTCGTGCCCCCTCAACAAAAACGTAGTCCAGTCCGTTGTCTAACGCAAAGGGCTAGAAAAATCTGTTCGGTGGATAGAATTGACGAATAACTTAGAAGAATCTAACAGCTTTTTCGCGAGAACGGGTATCCTGACAGATTTGTTGTAGGGAATCATATCCTATGACCGACAAACTCATCACACCGACGACGGAAAGAAAACTCTGCTGAAAAAAGCCCCCTTTCAAGGGGACGTGACAAGTGAACTCCTGGAAAGACGCATTGACCAAACCGTCTCAAGAAACTCTTCAGCAGCAAGAGCACAGGTACTGTTCTCGACCAACCCCTTCTTACGCGGGAAGGTAAGGATATGCTGCCAGCTCAGACCACCTCCATGTGCAATTACTCCTTTGCTTGCTCCTGTGAAGTAGTTTATATTGGTTGTACGAGTCGGCGCCTACCAAAAGAATACGAGAAGACATGCCGAGATGTCTGAGGAAAGGTGAAATTAGTAGCATACACAACTCCATCCTCGCAACAATAGCCGATTCTGGCATCATGTGGACCCCAACGAAGCCTACTGTGTGATTTGCAAGGCCCTACCTAATTATCGTAAGCGACTGGGTCAGCGCTTACTAGCAACAACAGGAGCGACTGCCATCAAGCTACAGAGGTTGGTCCATGTGCGCAGAAGAATCTCTTGCACTCTTTGCGTCTACCATGACCAAGGGTTGACTCCTTGCATTCATGTCTCCGTGCCCCCCTTCGAAATCTCCTTGTGACACGGCCCTGCCTAACTCTCACTGCCAACTACCCCCTCCTCCCTCTTATTCAAACGCCCCGCTTGTATGAAAAGACGAACCGTAATCGATTTCCCTTATCTCTCACACGTTTTACTTTGTACTTTGTTTTTCTTTTATTTTGGGCCCGACTTTGGTTTATTGAAAGCACGCGTATGTTCGCTAAGCGATCGCCTGAACCGTTTCGTGAGAATATTCGCAACTTCAATGTAAAGATATGAAAAATCGCATAAGGATACATCAACCAGGCAAAAAATATCAAAGACAATACGAGCGTTTGCCCCGACCAGCATGAAAACGATTGACTTCCGCCCCGCAGTACATCCTGCACGAACGACAGAACGCCCGTGCGCTCAACACCCATAAATTCTGTGAGGCATCGTACAGAGCCTACCTCTGACGATGAAAGCCTGTTGGATTTCGAAACTTCAGGCCAGTAAATCTATGGTCCCCGCGATCGCCTCTTCTTCACACGAATACATACATATCAAACGAATAATGTCAGAAATTATTCAGTGCATGACATGGAGCTAAGTCTCCGGGACATAATGTTTTTATGGTCAGACCCGAAATTTCAATGAACATTTGAGTCGAAGACAACCAACTACTGTGGAATAATCACGGAATTTGCCATCTTATAAGCAAGTAGCACCACAAGTAGTATTACATATGTGTGGCAAAGGTATAATACCGTAGTACCTATGTTAGGAGTACGGTATAATACGTTTGTCATATATGTGTATATATTCACTTAGGAATGGGCGCACGTTGATCCACCGGCTTCCCGAGACAAACAAACCTCTTATGAGTCGTAGGGCCCTATGACAGGGGTCACGAACAGACAACCGATTACCAGACCGGAGTCGGCTAAGCCGTAATAGCAGAAGGGAGACGACAGAGTCTGAGGGTAGACTGATGCATAACTGTTTCGGGTTTGTTTGCCTTCACTCAGCCAATCATAACTCTGACCATTAGCTGAGACCGGAAACACAAACCTGTGTACAGACACAGCTGGCGTAGCGGGTTCACCAGTGTGGTCTACCAGATGGATCATAAACACTTCATCGAACCATTCTCTGTCGTTGCAGATCGGATATTTATTCTCTCAAGATTGAACGCACACCGACCCATTGTCACCACGGAGCTTGTTTGCTCTCTGCAGTCAGTTTGAATACTAATGTGCTGCAGATAAAGTTCTCTCAAGCGCAAATCTTTCTGCAAATGAGAGTTGGAGCCATAAATACACAATTTCATAAACAAATATTGCTGAACTATGCACAGTAGCGTTGAAACTGTAATAAACGGTTACGCATGGTGTCTAGATGGCGTCGGACGGATGGCATTATCATGCATAATTACGTGTATGGTGGTCCAGTTTACTTAAAAGCTTATACAGATGTGGACCTAATGATACTCACAGGCACACCATCCCGATCTTCAATCCCTATGTTGTAGAAGAAGAATTTCCGTGTGTTCAGCCGAGACCCAGTCATGCACAATTTCAGTAGATGCCCTCGCAGGTCCGCTGTGGTTACTAACTCGAAAAAAGTCACTAGGTACAAGACAGCGGTCCCAAACGCGCATAGTTCGAAATGTCTGTATCAGGCCGCCTGTCAGCTGTCCGTAACACAAAGGAAGGAGATGGGGATTAGATAATTGTGTTTCATAAGATGGTGAACCCTGTCCCGCTATAAGTTTGTTTGGACGCTTTTGAACTGTTTACTTGATGCCGAGGTCCTTCACGCCCTAGGAGTTTCAGGTTTTAAAGGTGAAATCTAATTGCGGCCAAACAAACAATCTAAAGGCTTTACCGAAGCTATATTCACCAAAGGTGGAGAACGCCCACTTTACGAGGTACAGGACTGACATCCTGGACATGGCTACCTTCGAACAATGCAACGATGGTGTAGGTGAAATCGAAATCCACACAGCAAGGCATTCATGAACGTTCATTTTTTACATTAGTATGCTATTTTCCGACTCGCAGAATGCTGCGATTTATCTCACCGAACAGCAAAAACCAGTTATTGGACCACTGTTCGAGTCAGTTTAGGCTCGTCTGGAAGCGCTCTTTGTCGGCTTCATGTTGAGTGAGGTTCCACAGACTGATATCATCGGAAAACATTATTAGTATTATTAAACATGGCGACATCACAGTCCAGGTTATTGGTGCACTCGTTGACGTATATAATTTACAAGGTAGGACTATGAACGGAGCCCTGGAGAACACCACTCTCAACCGCAACCTCCGCCGACTGTTGGTAACCTAGGTGGATAACTTGAGAGCGACCCATTAGGTAACTACAAATTTACCACAGGAAATTACCCCTAACGGCTGCTCGGTCGAGCATCTGCAGGAGTTGCTCATGTGGTACATTATCGAGTGCCTTCCTAAAGTCAGCATAGACTGCATGCAACGCATTCCCTCCATAAGCTGAGCGAGTCCAGCGTTCTAAACAGTAGGGTAAGTTTGTCATGCAAGACCCACCTTTACAGATTCCAAGCTGGACATCGGTAAGTAAACTATTTTGCCCTAGGAAGCGCATTAGATTACGCCTCATTAATTTTCTCCAGAACTTTACAGCAGATTGAACTGAGACTGATTACTCAATCGTTGTTTTCAGAGAGCATGCTGCCTCCTTTGTGCAGATTCCCTATCATCAGGTAAGCAGCCGGCTTCGAACGAGGTTGTTAAACGCACGGAGGGTGAGTTGGCTAGTTCTAGAACGAGCTCCTTCAGCAGTTTAGGCAATATATAATCCGGATCGGGTTATCTTGACTAATTCAGCGTCAACAGCTCTTTACAAACATTTTTTCGGCAAAATATATAGTCTGGATTGTGGGTCCTTCCCCAAGTGGTAGTCAGAAAAACTAAATTTGCTTTTTTTCGTAATCATGGACTTAAAAATAACGAAAAGTACTCTGCTTTTGCATAGTATTTACTGATTTCTAGGTCTCCACTCGGCTTCAATAGGGGAATGGGATTTCCGTTGTGCAGGCTGCTCCTTATGTAACCGTAGAATAGATTCGGATTCCAAACGGCACGCCTCAGTGGGTCTTTTTCGAACTCTTGCTGTGTTCTGAGGATAAGTTGCTCAAATAAGTTCCTTCTGTGCCTTACGTGTATTCATCAAAACAGGGTCTCTGCTAGCGAGAAATTTCTTCAACAGCATTCGTTCTTTGTTCACTTCTTTTTCAGTGCCTGTATCAGCCACTCCCACGAAATGTGACGGTGACTTTGGCGGGGAATGTTCAGTAACTCACCTAACCGCTGACATTTCCCGACTTTCTTGCCGACTTTGCCACGTCAAATGTTTCTCATTACCCTAGAGGACTGTGCGGGTATCAAAAGGATGGAATACTACAGAGTACTACAACAGGGTCGCTTCGAACTAGAGGAAGCAGACATTGCACTTTGTTAATGCTATCCAGCGATTTCGTGATTATCGCATACATACAATCTGACTGTTCCTCCTAATGCACCCGCGTGGGAAGCAAGACGTGCTGGGTGGCGAATAACATGAGCGTCATATTTACTAGACGTCAGTCAGAGGCTAGTTCTGAATCTCATTTGTAAATTGAGCTCCCATCAATGAGTGATGCATTAAAGTCTCCATGACCAAGTCGTCAAACCGAGTAACAAATTTTTCTAGTTCAAATCAGCATTAGCCTTGGGATTATTTCTTTGGTGGACGATGGACCGTCAGAACTTCAGGCTTTTTCGATCTCTGCACCTTTATTGTGTGGCGTGTAAGTTTTTCTCCACAAGCAGTCCATTTTTTAAATAGTAAGCACTCCTCCTTCCTGGCGTCATGTCCTATCTTTCCGAGATCTAAGTAGTACCAATTCGCGGTCAGCGACGTTTTCAGACAACCAGGTTTCCGTGAAAAAGATGACGTTAATGGCGAGGTCACAGATGTGGACTTTCAGTTCATTTAACTTAGACAGAATACTCTGTACCCTGGTGTACATAAGCCTGGGTTTCATTTTCTGGGGTGATTGGCTAGAGTGCAGTTCGAGTTCCCATTTAATGAACCAACCGTACCTTCATTCGAATTGCCTCCGTCCATCGGAATATGGAAGGGCGTGCGCTTTTCTGGTTGTTGTAAATGGATAGACTTTTTTTTACCCCTTTTGCAATCCCATTTTCAGTTCCCGAATTAATGTTCAGCGTTTCATTCTCTCTGTTGGTGTGTGAACCGGTTAAAAAATGCCCCAGCTGGTGAAAGAATATGTCTAACTAGTTCCTGACTAGTTAGCATTACCTTGAGTACTTGCAGGCGTGGACAATCCGATATGTCGACTGAGAACTACCCAAAATTTAAATATCTTGAGCACCTTGACTTCCTCAGTGGACCGCAGAATTTAGTTAAGGAGACCTTTGTAGTGACCTAGGTCTGCCTAGACTCCCACCAGCTGCGCATTCGGGAAGCTCTTGAATTATCAGGCATGGTCTTCTTTCCATGTTTTCATTAGCCGTCTCATCCCTTTTTACGAACGTACCGGTAACAGAAACAGTCGACTACCTTCGTGATTTCATTGCCGACAATGAACAGGATATAGGAATACCAGTGAATGCCCTCAAGGAATTGTTATTGAGGTGTGCCTTGAACGTGCAGTTCCTAGTCGACAACAATCTACATAGGCAGATGGACGGCGTAGCAATGGGCTCTCCCCTTGGCCCGCTTTTGACGATTATATTCATGAGATAGTTAGGAGCTTTCCAGCTACGTACCAGATCAACAATTTAAGATACTATGGGCGGGTATGTGGACGATATATTGTCAAGTGCACCGAAACAAAGTGGCATCTCAATTCTATTGGATGACATAAATCAGGCGCACCCATCAATAAAATTCACTCTGGAAGAAGAACAGTCCAGTTCATTCCCTTTCTGGATGTGTTTCTGAGTATAAGACTTGACGGCAGCATTCGACGTAGCGTATATCGTAAGAAAACGTGGTGCGGACAATATACCCATTTTGGGAGTTTCGTACCGCTAAACGTTAAACGTAATTTAGTCCGTTGTTTAACAGAGTGATAAGAATCTGCTCAGTTGATAGCGTTGAGAAAGAGCTTAAGATTATCGACAGCCTCTTTCGCCAAAACGGGTATCATGATCGATTCATTGCTAAGAACATGGCCGAAAGACCACAAAAGCCCCCGATACTGACGGCAGGAAGGAAAAGGCTCTTCATCAGGGTCCCATTTCAAGGGGGTGCACCAAGTGAACTCTTAATAAGACGTCTAACTCAAGCTGTATCACAGACCTTTCCAGCAGCTGACACCCGTGTACTGTTCGCCACCAGTCCCATCCTATACGGGAGGGCAAGGAAAAACTACCAGATCAGACCACCTCTATGTGTATTTACTCTTTCACCAGCTCCTGTGGGGCAGAATATATTGGTCGCACGAGTCGGCGTTTATTCAAAAGAATAAAAGAATATCTTCCAGCATGGTAGGAAAGGGTCAAATAAAGAACATAAACAGCTCGGTCCTCGTGCACATGGTAGACACGGACCACCGTGTAGACGCCAGAGGGGCCTTCAGAGTGATTTACAAAGTCCCATCAAGCTAGCCAAAACTACTTGGGCAGCGCTTGTTGGCTACGGCAGAGGCGGCCGCAATCAGGCTACGCGGACCGGTCTTATGCGCACAGATGAACTTCATACAGGTCCCACAGTTGCCATGGCTTAAAGCCGCCAAGCCAGCCACCCGTATGTAATTACCCTCGTCGAGACCCACCTTCTCCCTGGCGCTGAATTGAATTGTGGTGTTTCGCTCTCCCCCTCCCCTCCCCTCCCCTCTCCAAATCCGAGCTACAGTTTAATTATCTACTTGCCCCTATCTTTTAATTCATTACTTCAATAGCCATATAAATGTGCAGGATTGAAGAGAATTTATCGAAAGCAGACGTATGTTCGCCAAATTGCCTTTTGAATTTTACAATGGGAATTTTCGCAGCACTTCGGTTCAGTTCAGTTTTATTAAAGGAAATACAGGCGAACGCCTTTGAACTCCCTATCGGTTGAAAATCGTCTGAGAAAAGCATCGATAAGTGGAAAGTTGAGAAGGAGACTTTGTACATAAGTGTATGCGCAAGGCAGGCAGTTGTCATCTAGTCGAAAAGGACAAACGTGAACGGCTACTCACTTACTGTAAGTAGTACAACATACGCGGTTTGGTTGACGGGCTGTGGGGGCGCATGTGTGTCTGGTAACAGGGAAGTTTGACACAGGGCGGATCTACAATTAAATGAATCCACACAGGAGGAGAGTACAACATCGATAGACAGGGCATTCCACGCTGCAACCTCCCTGTTACCGGAAAAGAACTTTCGTCCTTTGATCCTTGCCTTACGCGCGCGCAGTTTTAGGGCATGATCGCGCAAAGGGAGTGTGTCAGCTTGAGTGAAATAAGCACTGGGAACTAAGTAAGAGTCTAGGCCATTTATAATACGGAGCGTTAATACAAGGTCACCGCGTACTTGTCTGTAGGAGAAGGCAAACAGACTGAGAGTTGACTTGTAGCAGCAAAGCTGTGGGTGTGAGCTCAGAGCGCTGCAATCATAAGGTCAAACCCCGTGCTGTAAGAAGACAGAAGTCGCCAAATTAAGGGGTTTATCGTATTCAGAACTCTGGGCTAACTTCTCAGACGACAATTGTCGCTGTTGAGACCAGGGTTAGTGTTGACTCCACCCAATCATGCTCGACAGTCCCTGAGACAGTGATGGTGGCAGTTGGTTTTACAGGTTTGTGGGGCAATCTGAAGTTGTGTTCGGTTGCTGTGTGTTGATTTGTCGAGGGGCGGTGTTCAAATGGCTTGTATTGCGTTCGTAGGGGGTGGTGTGTTCAAGTGGCGCATGGGCAGCTCCGACAGTTCGACCGTCGATTTCGACGATGTCCACAGTGTGCTCCACAGTAGGGTGGGAGCAGGGACGCTGACTTACGTGTGAATTAGTTTATAGTGATTGTAGACTTGCGCAGCATCTACCGTTCTCCACTAGCCACCTGGACCCCGTGTCAAGACAGAGTCAAGAGGACCGGAGGCTGGGGAGATCGCGGGTGGATGGCACGGTCGAGCCTGCACCTTTGCATTCCACTCCGCACCCCCTGATCCGCTCAGGAAATAACCAGGTTTTTTTAATCAACAGCAACGACATCTGTCGACAACCGGGTCTGCCACCGCGCCCCGAAATGTCGGCATTTGTTACAGTGCGCAATCCGATAACGCCTGCCAGAATCCGGTATGACCCTCGTGTTGGTCCAGCGCATCTACCACGTTGCCCGTTTGGGGGGGGGGGGCAGCTGCGACTCTGTGGACGCACGTGCGTCCGAGTTCAAGTTGGTCGAGTGGCTCGTTGCGAAAGTGGATGACCCTGAGGTAACAGGGCCTTGAACAAGGACGCCAGACATGACCATGATGACTGTCGGCAACACACTGGCCCGATCAGCCAATGCCAGGCGTCGATAAAATACTCAGGAGGAAAACCCTGGCACGTTCACTAGCTGTCAATTTACGCACTCATGTGCGCCTGGGCGCATGGTGCGCAAGACACACCGGCATGCGCTCGGCACACACCACTGGCTGGTTCCGCTAATCCTAACTGTTGAGGTACGCCCATTATTTCCACCGCTCCAACTGTTCCCTGCTCATTTTCTCGCCCTAAGGATGAACCAATCGGAGTGCCCAAGTCAGTAGGCGACCACGCCGACTGAAGTCATCATGTTGACACGCACGTTTATCACATGCACGGGGGCGCAATTCCTCAAGTGCACTGACGCTACGGGGTCCACAAACTAGTGAATCATTCAAGCAACACCAAAAGTGACGCATAAACTGACTCTCGAGTGACACTCATACAGTTATGCGCAGGTTGCCACCTCCTCTTAAACGGGACTCGTCCTCGGAATTTCGGTTAGGGTACATCCACTTGCGGCCTCGAAAGGTGAAGTTGCCTGTCCGTTGGTCCCCTATTTTCGCTAGTCTAGACGAATAACATGGTCGACTGACTAGAATATGTGGCCTCCGTCAAGTATCTGTCGCAGTCCCGTGCTGTGAGTATTCACATGGTGGCAAACTCTATAAGTCTGTCAAGGCTTTACCGAAACCATTGTACACGTTTTTCATAGCCAAAAGGTCATCCGGAGAAGGGAAATTCTTAAGACACGCGTATTTCCACTGGTCAGATTTCGCACCGCTGCTGGGTTGCTGCCGAGAAACCGACAACCAATCAGAAATGGTTAGTGTTACGGGGCTTACTCCGCTGTGAGAGCACAAATTTGCTCGCAACGTGCGAAAATTTGAAGTAAAACCCATTTCTTGTCTTTTTTCAATGTATTTTGACAAAAAAGCCAATAAAAATACGCAGTTATTAGAAGGATCTTAAAAAATGTAAGTGGAGTCGGTAAAAAAGAAGCGCGATAGAAAGTAGGACAAATGATGAGAATTAGGGCCTTCAGTGCTTCTTGCGCATATGTCTTTCAAAATCACGCCTGCGTACCAGGTTCTTGTCGCACAGTTTACACGCGTAGGGATTTCTCAGACGCAAGTCTCTCACCCCGAGTACAACATCAGCATGGATACGAAGGTGCTTGTTTAAATTGCTGGGGTCGCCAAAACGCCGATGGCAGACGCGACATTGCAGCGGCTTGTGGCCCGTGTGGGTGCGAAGGTGGATCATGAGACTGTACTTGCGGACATAGTGCTTGCCACAGTAGGAACACCAGTGTTTTATTGAGCTGCCAGTTGTAAGGCGGGTTTTGGATGTTTGCGCCGTGGAGTAGGCCTCAATAGTCGTCGGGGAGGAAGATGAGGCAGGCGGAGATCGGAGGGAATGTTCGGCGGCTGGAAGAAACGCCAGCTGGGAGCACCCGGAAAGCTTGAGGTGGGCCTTCAGCTCATTTGGATATTCTAAGACGCCTCCGCAGTGGGTGCATACATAAGATGACGGCCCTAGATGGCGTGAAGGAAAAAAAACCCTATTAAACTGCCGCCTTCACATCGAGAAATCTGGTGGATGGACATGCTCCATACTCATTAGCGTGGCAACTGCAATTGGGCAGCACAATTAAAATTCCAAATTTCAGCCTAAGTTATATCCTCAGTTGGGCACAGGAATATGGACCCCCGTATGACAGATGGCCTTGCCCTGGATTCCAAGCGGGGTAAGGTTTATTGCTAGAGTTGAGGTCTGGTCTAGAAGGGTTAGGGTTGTGGTAAATGTTAGAATACAGGAATGGGAATCCCCCTTGGGATTTGGCGAGAGGCCACCTGTAGCATTGGGGGAGGGGGGGAGGAAGGGGAGTCCATGTTCTTATGCCCTGACTGCTGGGAACCAATTCTGCTTAGACGTTTTGAAAACTTCCCACGATTACTGCACTTTGGCAGGATAAACATCCGGGAAGATTTTGCCATGTTCGCAATTCGTTCGCATGAATCAGAAAAAGGGTATATCGCATCCTTGTAATTACTTTTGAAAAATTCAGGACATATGAAAATACATGCAAGGTCACTTGACCTTTGTTAAAACCCATATCATTTTTTCTGTTCAGAAGAAAAATTTCGGCAAGTTCTCAGTGGATAGGGCTATTATAAGGAATGTCATTGTAGACTAATATTCCTTGCCTTCCTACATAACTTGCAGTATCAGTCATCACACAGAATCGGATTTGTCCTCCTCATCCACTTTTTTAATCGAGTTGAGCGTTTAGGGAATTCATAGTTATTTCATTTGATCAGACTTGCTATGTTACGCTACTTTCCCCGAGTTACGTTTGAGCTGAATGCATGCCAGGTCAAAATTTTTATTGCACATTAAAAATAGTAAGGTTACACTTCCCTATTCTCTGTTGGGCTTCGACAGTAATATTTAAAACTCAGGCGGTTAACTAACGCTCAGTACTCGGCAGTTATGTTACGCTGACCCAACTGCATTATATAAATCCATTTAACGCTAGTTATGTGGACTTTGTGATCAATTGTGAACACTCTCCGACAGTTTGACCGTCTCATGCGACGATGTCCACCGTATATCCGGCAGCTCGGTGATTGCATGGGCGGTGACTTGCGTACAAACTAGTTTATAATGCTTGTGGGCTTGCGGTGCATCTGCCTCACCCTCCTTCATCACACATCCGTCTTGCCAGAACCACGACTACCGGAAGAGAACGCGGGCACAGTGGATGACAAACCTAAACAAGCCGCCCACGACCTGGCCCCATGGGCATGGATTAGGTTTTCCTAGAACAAGGGGGACGACTAAGAGCCCCTCTTGGCGGGAGTACTATATATGCCACATTAAGAAGGGGGCATTAAGCTTAACTCAACGTTCTCAGGCCAGTCACCCAGTATACGCACAGAGTACTGACCACGATGACTGAGTTATCTCGTCATTTGGCAGCCTTCAAGGCCACGAAATTTAGCGCATCGTGATGGTTCAAAAATACGTGAGATTTATCATAATGCATGATGCGCTGGAGTGAGGTTGCGAACACTGTAAATAGACGAAGGGCTACGTTACTCTGATTACCAACAATGTTCTCTGGCTGGAGTACAGGAAGTTCGCAGATGAGGGAGAAGGCGGGGCTTGGCCAGACAAGTAGCTCCATGCCTGCTTCTACCGGCTTTGAGAGGCACACTCGGATTGGTCCCCAGAGCGAGTTAGGGCTTCGACTGCGGTGGGCACACTTGTGAGCTTGCTGAACGGAAGTTGTGCTAGTCACATTCGATGTTGTCGTCCCAGTTTCCGGGCTGAAGGGTTGAAGCTCTGTGTTTTGCTCACAAAGATGTCGTGCCGCCCGCAGGTGGCAGAACCAGGGCAGGGATTGCTCCTCGTCACTGATGAGTTCAACTTGGAGTGCACCAGCATTTGATGAGCACGTCATCTAAAATAAAATATGGACGCGCTTTATCTACTTGTTATGACTTAAGTAGCGAGTATTCAATACTTTAAAAGTATTCGCCTAGATTGACCAACGGTGGTAAACAGCAGTGTACACTAATTTCCTTACAAGAAACTAAAAAGGAACATGTTTAATCGCCAAGGGCTGCACTGAGAAGAAGGATTCTTGAGAGACCTCAAAACATGGTCGTCAGCAAAGGATTATCAAGAAACCGAGTTCGATCATTCAAGCAACATTGGGCACAGGAGAACTGTCAACAAAAATCACCCGGATTTGCTCCTTGAGGGGAAGCAAAGGGGAATTATGTGAGAAGCGGATAGTGGTGAGGGATAATTGCGCACCAAAAACCTCATCCTCCCTCTCTCAGCATCAATCGTTTCGCAGTAGCAAGAGGGATTTGGAAGCACTGACTGACCAGTGTTGGAAAAACACATCAGCTAAACCACTTAGTTCCACCCTTCAGTTAACATCGTGATCAGGTCATGGATGATGCATACAACGCGGGTTCGTAGTGCCATAAATGAGAACTGTGTGCCGCATTATGTCAGTAGAGGGAACACGGCACAATTAGGACCGTGCGTTGGCTATCAATCTATCCAAATGACTGACCCACACTGGGCATTACAAACACCTCAGAAATCTCATATAACCAAGGCACCAGTTTGCCTACTTAGCTTTTTATATAAACTCAGACATTCGGACGCCAAGAATATAAAGGTAGGGCGGCCTGAGGCATGCTGCTTACATTCAACTGCAACTTTTTTGCCGATTGCTTTAAACGCTTAGTCGAAATCCGCCAAATGCGCATCACCCATACAACTGACAATAAGACAGACCAATATTATCTCTACTGCTGCAATGGAGCTGAACCCACAAGTGCCAAGCGCAGTCCTCCTGACGCCTGGCCTCAGTTTCTTGCTTGAGAATTCTTGCTGGAATTCTTGCTCGGACTCTTTCTGCTCTTCGTTGAAAAATGCCCAGCTTCCTCCCCCTTAGTGCTCGATTAAGAAAAGGCTGTCAGAAAAGCCCCAACTGTTGCCCAAGGACGTTTATAATTGACTTCGAGCATTTCATTTAGTTTATTTTCCCGCAGCGAGAAGGGTCAAAAGCCCTATCTAATGAGAACATCAACCCTGTGAAATTACTGTCGTGAGGTAAACAAAAATACAACAGTAACGTTAAGCTGTTGAGAAGTGCCCCCTCCAAATCACCAGCTGGTAGAGAGGCTCGGACGGTTGACAGGTCCACGGGAGGGAAGAGTGAATGAGCTCGAATTAGGAGAAATAATCTCCATGGCACATCCGTACATTCCTCACTGTAATAAATCTGACACGCTAGAACTTATCACGACACGCGAACAGTCGTGGCTTGGAGGCTTGCCAACTGGCGGGATACCTCGGTCTTGGAGGGCGATTTTTGGATTGTTTGGAGAACAGAGAGTCAGTCTGCAATGGCTCCTGCTTAATGTGGTCTTTGTGACACACACACCCACGCATATGAGATTCGAGGCGCTCTATCTTGGCCAGGCACTTCCTGTGGCGGCCAGATAGTGTGTGCCAAGCGTAGACAGACTCTTTAGCTCTGCCAGCTACTGAGTCTGAGCCCATTGGCTCGGATAGTTCACCCCTGCATGGGAGAGGGAATGGTTTCGGAGGTGTCTCTCCTGACGCGACGAGCCAAGTGTCGGGACGGCTGCTAGACGATAGATAACGAGGCTTTATTTCGAGATAGGAGTCAGACGGTAATGGGTCCCTCCTAATGTAGCCACTAGAACACTCCCTCTTTCGTGGAATCCGAGACTCCTCTTCTTTGAAGACTGGTTCGCGTGCATGCGGAAGACAATACGTACACGGTAGGCGTAAACAAAGATTTGGAATCATCAACCACAGCGCCCACACTAATTCCCGGCTGCCTTGGCTCCGAAACATAGCGAGGGTTGGAGGAGAGAGTGAGATGAGCGTCGCACAAGCATGCTTTACATGAAAGGCCTACTTGACCATTAGGTCCTCTTCGAGACCTGATCCTCGTCACCCACGATGGACGAACCACCGCTGTTGTGCACAGCCGCATAGTGGAGTCCTAAGAAAAACGGGGACGCCCGTTGCTCGTCTCATGACCAGGTCGGATCAGTAAACAATATTCCCAAGTGAATTTTCATATCTCTTGTTGAAGCAAACTGGCGGAAAATCCACCGCATCTCCACACAGCATGGTGGGTGCAGGACGGTGACTTGCGCAGGAGCTAGTTTATGGTGACTGCAGACTTGCGCAGTATCTGTCGCACTCTCCCATTCCTTATGCTCCTAGGCCCGATGGTAAGACAGAGACATAAGGACTTGAGGAGGTTCGGACGCGGTGGCCGGAGAATCCAAACGACTCGTCCATGCGTACCAAACATGACCTGATCCCAGCTCAATTAATCAAGTTTTCGCAGAATAGAGAGGACGGCAAAAATCCCATCCGAGCGGGATTGCCCTGTGAGCCAAATTCGGAAGGAGCCACTGCAGCCTAACGTTCTGTCTCGAGAGGACTGAATTATTCAGTTAGTTAGCAGTCTTCCAAGCCACAATATTCAGCGTGTTGTGATAGTTTAAAATGCGTTGGATTGCCTTGTGTACAGAGTACTCGGAGTCGATCTCGATATCCCTTCCCTCTCCCATGTACCAGTCCGCCGTCCGAATCGGTCAGCGATCTAACGCTAGGATTGCGCGCAGGGGGTTGGCGCGTCGTGAGCTCGCGCCTAGGCGTGCCACCACATCCCATGTGCGGCATTTTTTATTTGATGCGTAGCCTGCATTCCGTTTCCCGACCTGCCCCCATTGTGATCCAGCGCACCTAAGTCGTGAACCGTTTTATTAGCACAACCTCAGCGCAAGTACTAGATGAAAGCCGAGACGCGAATTTTGCCGATTTCCAGTTGCTACCTAGTACACATGTGAAGATGTCGGCTCCCTAGCTGGTCTTCCAGCGGTCCCCGGGTAGCGCTCAAGTTATAAAGTACAGTTTTACAATTCGGCTAGAACTTATGTAACTGATCCCGATCAAAGTTTTTTGAGCAGAACGTCTTAGATCCTATCTGAACTTGTATG